ATTAAGCGAAAGAAAAAGAAAGGCGTTGTTGTAATATGAAAACCCTTTAGAAACAATTCCCATAATAAACAATTCGCCAAAATAAAATAATTTTAATTAAAATTTTTTAAACAATTTATTAATAAATACAATTTTTTTAAATAAAATATATTTTAAAAAAATAAATTATTTTAAATTGAAAATCAAACAAAAAGCAAGATTTGTCAAAAAAGAAATTTCGGAATTATCAATTATCAAAATTGATTAAATTAAATTATCCGTAAAAATACTTTATTTGTTAGTACATGAAAAATTCACATTTTTAATTTTTCAATTTTTCAACAAGTCAATCTTAAACGAGCTTCTCGTTTGATCTGAGTGATCGTTCGTAAAAACGAGATCTTCATTTCAATAAGACGACGGAATATGATAGCTAGGTAGTCAAAACAAAACGAAAATCGTTATTGGTTCGTTTCTCGGATCGGATCGCTCGAATGAAACAACTATTACCAAGTTGAATGAAAATCTATTAAAATTTGTTCAAGTTATTCAAGTTTTTACATTACTAATTTTGTAATGGTTGATTGTTTATTTTATATGATACATTCTCAGTCAACTGGTTGATTTACTATACATCTACGAAGAATTTTTTTTCAGTTTTTCCATCCCTTAAATCAGTAGTATACTTGAAATAACTTGTTTCTTAAACCTCGCTGAACTACAGTGGTGTTTACATTTACCCCGAATTTTAGGAAAATTTCAAAATCTCGGGGTAAATGTAAACAGTCAGTTTTAGGCGATTCAGGTGCATCAGTATTTTTGTTAACCTCATAAAATTTTTCTAGGGAACTCTAGTAACAAACTCATGCAAAAAAATCGGTCCGTTTTACCTTTTAACAAAAAAAACTAATGTTTTTGGTAAAAAATAGATATTCCGTTTACATTTACCCGAATTGACCCTATTGTATTTCGTACTTTCAACTAACAATTCTGTAGAATTAAATTTTTTTTTGAAAAAGTTTAATTGAATCGTAATTGATGTTATTGATTTAAAATAGAATTTTAGTTAAAATTCTAGAAAATTTTAATTGAATTGAAATAATAAAATAAAAATAATTTTGAAGAAATTACAGTAACAATATTCTTATGATAATAAACTAATGATTTTTCTTCATACCTCGGTCAAAAGTACGTATTTTCTGCTTCGATTTCGCAGCAGAAAGTCGAAGATTTGTGCATTGGTCGATGCACAAGCTCGCCCTCTGATACAGCGGGAGCAAAAGCTGTTAGCTGTTCTGCATTACCGGCAGATAATTTAAAGCGCGAGTGATCCAGACGTATAGGGATTGACAGTTAACCTAAAAGCTTATTGTTTTTTTCTGGTGCTTTACTTTAAGAAAAAATGAATCAAAATGTTAAACTTTAGAATCTTTGAATATCGTAGAGAACATTCAATATGATCTCAATTTTGATGTAAACAAAAATTTATGTATCAAATACATAAATTGTATATTTCATAAAAAAATTATAAATAATTTTTGTACTCTATCAGATTTGAAAAATAGTTAATACAATTAATAAATAAAAAAACTTAATTACATTTGTTATTTATAGTATAAGAAATAAAGAAAAAGTTTTAAAAATTCACTATTTCTTTAAAAAAAAATTTTAGCTATATATTTGTCTATTTACATGGTTTTTCGATACCTGCTCCCGACATTTATTAATTTTGATGAATTAATTAATTTTTTTTTAGTTGTGACAAAAACTGATATTTTATATTAGAAGGTTGTTTTTTATTACTTTCATTTATTCCTTTGGTCATTTATTGCAATTAATTATTTATTAAGTTGTTAAAATTGTAGTTATATTTGGATTTTGCTTGTCTTTTCGATGCCCCCCCCCCCGACCAGCAGCACTCGCTTCGCTCGTGCAGCAAATGTCGGGGCCGGTATCGAAAGTCAATAACGGCGTCTTTCTTTTAGAGAGAGATAGAGAAAAAGCCGGAGCTTCAGGAGTTGCGGATGGCGGCGCTAAAGCGGGGAGCAAAAGTAAAAGATGGCCGGCTGTCAAAACGAACGCGATTGCAAGATTTGTAATTAATAAATTATTAAGCGTACTTTCGGCCGAATATAAAGAAAAAATAGTATACATTACACGGGCAAAAAGTTCGAAATTCCTGCATCGCGATGATCACGCGATGCAGGAATGTCGAACTTTCTGCCCTTATAATGTAATATACTATTGTCAGTTGGATTATCTTTATGTTTTATAATAATATTCTTATGAGTAGTTCAATTTAAAGAGGTTTGAATTTGAAAATTCCTTTCTTTTTTTAACATCCTAATTCCAATAAAAAAGTGATTAAATATTTATTTTAATGTTTTCGAATAATTTTACTTTTGAAGAAATTTGTAAATAAATTTAACAACGTTGTGTTTAGAAATCAAGGAGATTATATTTTTTTTATCCTTATTTTACAAATTTTTATGGTACCCAAAAAGTCCTTTAAATTTTTTTTTAATTTTCAGTTCCCTATTTCCCTTAAAATAATTTTTTAGGGGCACTGTGAAGCCTGTCGTCCGACGGCAAGAATAATGACCACACGTCCGGAGAGTTAATTAACCTAAACGGAGTGTTATTCTATAATCTTAAAGTAAAATACCTGCGTCGTGTAAACTTACACCATTGCGGAATGTGAATTAGCCTAAAAGAAAACCGGGAAGTAACAAATTTCTAATTTTATAGATTTTAATTAACTAGCACAAATAACGCGCGCTAAAGCGCGCGTGAAGTTTCTTGTTTCACTTTTAACATATATAACAATAATGTAATTTTTACATTACATGTCACATGAGAATAAGACTTAAATTTTTATTCCGTTAAGCATGTTATATTTTAAGGTTGACTATTGTTCATAGAAAAGCGTGATTGCCAATGAGTCGATAATGGAAGATATGTTTATTGCAGTATTTTTGACTTATTAATTATCAAAAATAAATTACATTCAATTACAATTAATTATTTATTTGTTATTTTCTTTCTAATAGTTTCCTAGTCAAAATTAATTAATATTACTTTCATCTCATTAACATTGATAAATTCATTTATTCAAAAGATTTCTACACAAAATCACTATTTTTCTAAAGTTACATTTTTTAACATTTTAACTTTCTATTTATAAGGCGACATACAATTAAAATAATAATAAAATACATTAAAAAAATTGCAAAGAATAAATTTTAAGAATGATTTATTATTATAAGTATATTAGCACGCAAATAAAAAAGAGAAATTATTGATTTCTTTTTTTATGAATTAATGAATGAAATCAATCAAATAAAAAGAATGAATTAAATTTCAAATAATAAAATAATGAATTATTGAAAAAAACAACCATTAAAATAAGATTTATTTATCAATCATTTTTTTATAAAATAGAAAACTTATATATACACGGAGAAAAAAATGCTGTTGAATCAATGACATATGGGTTTGATTCATTGAATAGTGTCATAACGGGCTGCCTAACGTATATGCTGTTGTTTTGAAAGCACCGATTCTAATGATTCGATAGTATCACTTTCTTTGAAACAAAAGCATATTTCTCAAATTGACAGCATACTATGTTAATTCGAAGGTGAATCCTTTTGAATCAATAAACAAAATTTTTTAATTTAACAGTATATGCTTTTGAGTCAATGACTATAACTTTTAAATTTAAAAGCATCATTTTTATGATTTAAAAATTTGTACTCTTAATTTTTTTAGTTGTTGCTATCGATTGAATAACACCATACTGTTAATTCAATTCTTTTATGTGGTTAAATATATACCAACGATAAATTGAAAAAAGGGAATTTTTGTTCACATGTTTTTTATATACTATAATTAATTCTCACACCTTTAACACAACACTTTTTATACACATCTTTTTTTCAATTTTTCACACTAACATATACATCTTTATTATTATTTTCATTTTTCCCAACGGCTAAACACACACACACACACATACACATTCAAACACACTTATCTTTTTTAGTCAGAAAAATACGGCTATTCCCAAGCGGTCACCCATCCATTTAGTAACCGCGACCAACGACGCTTAACTTCCGTGATAGACGAGAACCGCCGCGCTGCAATGTAATACATCCGCTTCTCAACGTTGGGCACTTACTTTGTGGTTAAATACCGTGCTCGAGATTTTTCGCGTATATAAGGGAATTTATATAGGGAATTTATATTTAACTAGTCATTAATTAATTAAAAGAATTTAAATAATACTTTTTTATATTGGAATCTCAAAAACGACAGGTTTAATAAACATATAAATATATGTGGGTAAGTATTTCAATAAATTTAGTACCTGTCAATGTCTCAAAACATAGTGTTCTTAATTTTATAGCATATGCTATAGGCAGTCCGCAATAGCACCACTCATTGAAACGAAAGCATATGCTTTCGTTTTCAGAGCGCGCTTCTTTAGAGCAAACAATTTTTCATTTGATTTAAATTTACACGCATTTTCTTCAAATTTACCTATTAGATGCTTCAAATGAATAATGTCAAAGAAGCAATAAATTATTCTGTTGCTATATATAGATGAACTATAGAAACAATTTGCACAATATCATTAATTCTACAGTACCGTACTTTTAATTTAAACAGTTTAATTTTTTCATTTTAAGCAATATACTTTTCGATTAATAAATGTGTCATTGAATCAATGACGGGGAATTCAATAGCATGGAGATATTTGATTCAACAGCACTTTTTTTCAGTGTATTTATACTTATGTGTAGATATACATTAAATATATTTTTTGAAAATTTTAACAATTATATTACAATTAATTGACAATAATTTTCGCTTATATTTTAAGTAAAAAATTAAATGAATTCCTCTTGGGGCTTGAAATAAAAAACTTTTAATCTTCAGATTCGCATTTCGATAATAAAATTGCATTAGGTAAAAAAAATATTTAACATTAGTAAAAAGTATGCATTGACAATGCGACTTTTAATTTGCTTCAATTTTTTTTGCATTTTGTTGTTCGTCTGATTCATTTTCAATTACTCTTTTTATCATTTTTGAAGCTTTAAGTAATAATTTTAATGACATTTTCGGCTCTTTTTCCCTTTTTAAAACATTACTGTAATTGTTGACAGCAAAATATGTGACATCTGAAATATATAAATATATATTAATGAAGAATAAAACTTACACTATTAAAAGTATTAATAATTAAACAGAAAAAATACAATTCATATTAAAAATTAATCGATAGATAACCTGATTTCAATTTTTCCATAAGATTTTTGTACGAATAGATATAAAAATAAACGTTTAGGTTGAAGTATACGAAAAAAGTTCTTACACATTTCGAATTAACAATTTGAATAATACAGTCAACTCTCAATAAGACAAAGCGCGATATCTCAAATTTTTCGGTAAGTCAAAGTAATATTCTTGGGTCCCGTTCATTCCTTATAAGCATTATTAACATTTGATAACTCAAAGTTTTTTCGGTCTCCCATCGAGTTTGTCTTATCGAGAGTTGACTGTATATAGTTTACATAATAAAAATTCCACTGTAGCTACTTTATATATATTATAATTTTGACATATTGATATCTCTAACAATTGGAAGTTTATATTGATACACTAGTTTTATGCTCGATCATTCGTCAGAAAATCACAATTTTCATTTGTGGCATACAAAATTTTTAATTTAATTCGGGCTACATCAAAATTAGCAAATGTAATATGTCGAATTGACATAGACTATCCTAAATAATTAAATATGTAACTTACTTGTAAAATTCATGATTCCTCCTATTTGAATGGGATCTCCCTTAGCAAGTTCGACGACACAGTTACGATCGGTTAATCTGACTTCTAAATTGTGAACGCCATCTGTGATTGAACCACTTAGATACGATTCTCTTCTGTCGCTCTGTTTGAATACGGTTTTTAAAAATCCATTGATTCCTATTAAGAAATTAATGAAATTGATCAATTTTTATAAATATATAGTCAATAAATGATACTAATTGAATTAATTTTATACATAATAAAACTTTAAATTTTGTGTACAGTAGCCATTAAAATTGTAAAATAAAATTGAATTTTCTATCATGATTTTCTAAATTAATTAATTTTGATAAAAATAAAAAATACGCATTAAAAAATATTCATATGGTTATAACTAAAATAAAAATCATATAACTGGGTGTCTAATGAAGATTCAGAAAAAATATCTTGATTTTTCCCTGAAATTTTTTTACTTTTTCCCAGATTTTTTATTAATCTTATTTCCTGATCTTTAGACAGACTGTATTCAAAAAATTATTTGAATTGAAAGAGATCAAGAATTAGACAAAATATATTACATATTAGGATTTAAAAAATGTGAAAAATTTGATATAAAAGGACCCCGCACAAAATACATTGAAAAAATTTTTGGTCAAATTTATTGAAACTTTCAAAAAAGACTTAAAATGTGATTCTGACAAATTTTTTCTAGTACCAAAAAGTCGGTTTATGTGTCTGCTTATCAACTACAAGTATTTAAGTATTTAACTATTAAAATTTTTAATAAATAAATAAACATTTTTAAGGAATAAACGAACTGGTCAAAAATTACATCACATTTCTTGAAGGATTTAATTATATTTCAAAATTTGTTGGTCATCCTATATTTATTAGATTACTTAAAATAATTTAAATAACTGAATAATTTATTTAAAATATTACTTAATTTATACTTACTGATAGTTTTTCCACTATATTTTCCTAAATCATTAAAGCCTACTAAAGGTAATGATTCTATAGAAGTTTTCGAAGTTTCTAAAGTTTGCTTTCCAAAAATATTAATTATGGTGTTCGATTGGCACAAAAGTTCATAAGATGTTGTCCCTTTGTTGAAAACTGCAGCAATAGGTCTAGCTGAAATGCCATCAATATGAACAATCTGAAAAAGAGATATAAAATAAATAATTTTTTAAATATGAAAACAATATAAAGGTTTACCATGCGGAAAATTTAATTGGGCGGACATAAAGAGAATATAAAAATTGTGATATATTTTTCTTGTATGTTCGCGTAAAAATAAAAACAATTTCTTCAAGTAAAATGTTTTCAATTGTAGACAATTTTTCTGATGTTTTATTTAATAGCATAAAATTAAAAATTCAATATAAAAAGAAGCCATATCTATATAAGAAGAAGAATATAAAAAATATTAATTTTTTAGGGAAGAATTAAGTTCATGTGAATTTTTTTGTGCTGTATTAATAAATCGTCTAGAATTATAGAAATAAAAGTGAGACGTTTTTTAACAAATTTTAATGTTTAAAGTTTTTCGATAGAGTTTGTTTGAATGTAATGGAAAATTTTTTGGCAGAATTGAGTAGAAATTTTTTTATAAGCTTATAATAATTGTTTACCAAATTTGTTTTGATTAATGTAGAAATTCTAACAGCTTCCTCGTTCCATGCAGCCACTTGGACTCTCGTACCCAAATTATTATTTAAAAAAAAAGCGAAGTACTTTTCGATTTTTTTGTCCTACCGCCTCCAAGTCTTTGATTTCGTCGATAAAGCCGATCACTTCACTAAAAAGGAAGTTAATTAATAAGAAAAATTTAATTTTTTTATCGCATGCGTTTTTTTTATTGAAAAAATTAAAATTATTTGTTTTCTATCATAGTTTATGAATTTATAAAGTAAATAGTATAAGTATAATTTTTTTATTTCAAATTTTCGTCAATGGCGTCAATTTTTTTAATAATATGTATATCCCAGTAAAAAAAAAAGTATTCAGAATAGAGAAAAAGTATTGGTGGAGACGTTCGGTGAATGCGTTTTCGCGACAAAACCGTATTGGTGGGTCACGGTGAATACATTTCGCTTACCGTGAATACTTTTTTTAAAAACTTTCGATTTAAAGATTCCTAAGCAAAGTTGAGAATATTTATAAAGAGCGTAAGTGACCTGAAGTATAAAAATGACTATTGCGAGAAGGAAATAAGAAATTTAAAAAAAAACGAAAAATTAAATGTGACAAACAGATTGTCAAATGTTGATCAATTACCATATGCTTTTCTGTGCCTACAACGTATGATGATTAAAAGGAACTTTGACGTTACCGGTGGAACTTACTGTTTCACATACATTTACTTGGATTTCTCAAGTTTCTGTCGGTATCGTCAATGTTCCTTTTCATCATCATACGCTGTAGGTTTGTCACATTTAATTTTTCGTTTTTTCTCAAAATTTCTTATTTCCTTCTCGCAATCGTCATTTTTATACTTCAGATCACTTACGCTCTTTATAAATATTCTCAACTTTGCTTAGGAATCTTTAAATCGAGAGTTTAAAAAAAAAGTATTCACGGTAAGCGAAATGTATTCACCGTGACCCACCAATACGGTTTTGTCGCGAAAACGCATTCACCGAACGTCTCCACCAATACTTTTTCTCTATTCTGAATACTTTTTTTTTTACTGGGATATTTTTCAACTTTAAATTAGAGGTTATCCATACTTACATCGTTGTATCGTACAATTTAATTTCCCTGAACATTTGATTACTCGAAAAAGTTACTCCGTTAGTATCTAACTTTAATAAATCACTTAAAACTTTAAGATCCATTTTGACAAAATATAATTTTGGAAATTTCTATAGGAAAATGAAAAACGCGTCCTCCTATCTTGAATGTCGATCAAAAAGACCGAAGCTTGATCTTACTAAAAAAGAAGTTAGAGGTTATGCGATTTTCATTTTTTAATTGACAACGACAGTCGCACAATATGCCTTTAGATGCAACTGCGCCTGCCTCGAAAATAATTCTTTTTTGATAGATTTAAGCGCGTCTATTTAAAAAGTTGTATATAAGAATATAAATAAAGCATTACAAATAATTTTATTCTCAATATTATATTATATTAGATTTTATACTACAATTATAATAAACAAATAATAAAATGTTTCATAATTTAATGACGCATTTAACAGTAAGATTCGCGTTATTAATGAAAATATATTTTACGTGCCCAACCCTGCTCGAGACTGAGATCTCTAGTTTCGATCATACATAAAGGGTGTTTCCGACATTCGCTCTCTGAGCGTTTTGAAAATACGAAACGTGGTTGGTTGGATTAGGGGAATTGAAAATCAATCAATTTAGTGTCTTATCCAATAAAAATTCACAATTCCGCTAATCCAACTAACCACGTTTCGTATTTTCAGAGCGCTGAGAGAGCAAATGTCAGAAACAACCAGAGAAAATAGTTGTACCCTACTAAAAATAAAATCAGGAATCGTCATGAATGGTCAGAATTTCTGAACATTCCTGAACAGTCTCACCACTTCTGACGTTTTCGAACGTTTCTCACCATTCCTAACCAAATACTTTCCAAGCTCCTCCCACTTTACTCCCACCATTTTCGAAGCTGTGACCATTTCTGAAATTCTTGACTATTTCTGAAATGTGTGAACACATAACCTATAAAAATTTTGGTACATCTTTCTAATTTTGGTAAAGTCTCATGAAAATTTATATATACATATTAATATCTTTCAAATTTATTTTTTACATTTCAGAATACATTATTCTATTATAAAAATTGTTCTTTTAACTTAACAAAAGTTCTCATTTTTCAAATTGGTATAATTATTGAATTAATTATACAGCAAAAGTAGGTAAATAAATCAAAACATTCGGACCATTCTTTTAACATTATTTAATATATTTATTTAATGTATATTTATAATATATTAATTTAATATGTATGTATATTTACTTGTAATTATTTAATATAGTTAATTAATAATAAATTTTGTTTCATAATATTAGTAATTTACTATACCAGTCAGTACTTATTATGAGAATTATTTGCATTATAATTGAAATACAGTTATATTAAAATTATTATTAATCATTAATAGAATAATTTCTTATTATAATGATTATTAATAATTTAAATTTAAAATTTATAAAAATTTCAATATTGCATTAATAATTCATTATTATTATAAATTATAATGTTAAATTAAATTAATATTAAATACTAATAATAAATTCATTTTAAATGCAGATATAATAATAATTATTATTAATCTGTATTCGTATTATAGTTTATGAAACATTCCAAATTGTAAAGTTAAGACTTAATTTATTATTGATTCAAATAATAATGTTATTTTTTATTAATTCACATAACCTATTATGACTAAATTGAAATATAATTAATTAATAAAAGTTATTTAACAGTTTATTCTGATTTATTGATAATATTGGTAATTGAATTTTACTATTTTACAGTTGCTCTTTATATAGACAGTTGAATCCAGAAATATGTAAGTCGGTTCGGTAGTCGCAGTCGTTAGGGCAGTTAGTTTAGGCACTAGGTTAGGTCATGCGTCGGGGTTCGATCCCCGTAGAGTCCAAATTGTAATTTAATTCCGGGAATTAGTTTCAAGTTGTTCCGTATGTAAACAAACTGATATTAATTAATAAAATATATTTTTTAAAATTAATTTGTTGCAACTTTTTGCATATTGTTTAAATAAATAAAACAGAAATGGCTTAAAAATATGGTCAAAAATGAGATACAAATGGTCTCAAATAGTCACCAATTATGGGCGGGGTCAACAAAGAGGAGGGGATAGTAGCAAACTTGTGACCACTTTAAACTTCCTCCTAATCAGTTGTGATAGATTTCTGACGAGATCCATCCAGAATCGTAAGAAAACTGGATTAAAGTGGTCAGGCGGCCTGACCATTTGTCTGACCATTCCTGATTTTATTTTTAGTAGGGTAAACAAACATTATTAACCTCAAAAATATACATTTCAGCATATTTTAAAGTTCCTGTGAATTGAAAAGTGTTAATTCCACTACAATTATTTTATAAAAGAATTCGTTTCAATTACATATATGTAATTAATTATAGAAAGTGTTTAAAATCCATTAAATCTCCATAATATTGAAAAGAGAAAAGAAAATTCAAAATTGGTTTCCCATAAGAGAATTGTATTGTGTCGTCTGTTTGTTTTCCCTCCATCTGATGCCTGATCTGATGTCATACTCGAACTCGAAATATCTCGATTCAGTGAAACAAAAAATTGAAATTGGTTGTCATGGGAATGATGATCCTTTTTTGTTTTTTTTCGCCATATTTTCTTTTGTGATTACGGAAAACAGTGATAATTTTGGTAAATTGTATTGTATTAAATTAAATTACAAAATGGATCATTTAGAATTAATTGACGAAGAGGAAATAGAGTTTTCTTCAAACGAAGTGTTCCAGAATATTGAAATTGGAAACTCGACCGTGTAAGTGTAATAATATTTTTCATATATATTAATTAATTCTTTACTATTAAAAGCATTTTATTTTACCATAATAGCAATTACTTTTTTAAAATAATTTTACTATACTATAATTTTAATTTAACCTATAATTTCCATTTTAATTTTGATGTTATATTTACAGTGAAATCGTTGGGCTTGTCTGCGATATAACAGCGCCAAAACTGGTGGAGAAGAAAAAGAAAAAAATGATAATTTTGATAAAAAAGAAGACAAAGAAGAGAAAAAAGAAGAGGATTATTGGAAAGTTTTTTGTTTTTATATAAAAAATTTAACAGGACAAAAATGCAAAATCGCTGTTTGGAACGACTTGATCAATGGAATTGAACCTCTCATAAGATTGAGAAATGTAAGTTATCTTTTTCTATTATAATTAGACACAAAGAATTTTAAATTGCAAGAAAAAACTTAATATTACATAATTTATATAGAGAAATAGTTAAAATGTTTAAGAATCCTAAAAAAAAAAATTCTGAAAAAAATTTGAAAAATTAATTTATATCTGACAATTTAATTATTGAAAATTAATGTATATATATATAAACTTATTCTGCAAACATTTTTTATCATAATAATTATTCACCTTAAATAAAATTTATGACAGTTTTAGTTTTGTGATTAGGTTACTAATTAAAATAGAAAAATTTATTGAAATAAATGTAAATTACTTTAATTATTATAGTAAAAACTAATTTAATAATAACATTATTTTCCTGTGATCAGTTTATAATTATTATTAACTATAATAGTATTTTATAATTAATATAAATATAATTATATTATTCATCAATTATTATTTATATATATATATATATATATATATATATATATATATATATATATGGGACATTCCACGTCAACACGGACAGAGCTCTAAACAAAAATTGATTTGATGGATTTAAACGTTCTAGGGCTTAAAAGATTTCTACGTTCATGTACTTTAAGATGCCGATGGGCGTTTTTTGCAAAATTCCATTTCCGATGCCAATAGAACTGTCAAAAGTCAAAAGGTCCAAAAATCTCAAAATACTTTTATGAATTAAAAGCAAAAAACGAGGTAAATTATTCTGTAACTCATTCTTTATCAGTTTTTAGGGTTCCCGAATATAAATCTAAAGTTTTTTTTTAAAAATCCAAAATGGCGAAATCAATATGGCGGACAAAATTCAAATTTGATCAGATTCGATTAAAACTTGTTACTCGGGGGTTTTTAGGGTCGCTGATTACGAATCTGAAGTCACTTTTTAAAAATTCAAAATGGCGGATCCAATATGGCGGAAAAAATTTTCAAATTTGATCCGATTCCCTTAAAACGTGTTACTCGGGGGCTTTTGGGGTCGCAGATTATGAATATGAAGTTACTTTGTGTTTGAGACTTCAAATTCATAATCAGATACGCTAAAAACCACCGAGTAACACTTTTTAATTAAATCTGATCAAATTAAAAAATTTGATCCGCCATTTTGAATTTCTACAAAGTAACTTCATATTCATAATCTGCGACCCCAAAAGCCCCCGAGTAACACGTTTTAAGCGAATCGGATCAATTTTGAAAATTTTTTCCGCCATATTGGATCCGCCATTTTGAATTTTTAAAAAGTGACTTCAGATTCGTAATCAGCGACCCTAAAAACCCCCGAGTAACAAGTTTTAATCGAATCTGATCAAATTTGAATTTTGTCCGCCATATTGAATTCGCCATTTTGGATTTAAAAAAAAAACTTTAGATTTATATTCGGGAACCCTAAAAACTGATAAAGAATGAGTTACAGAATAATTTACCTCGTTTTTTGCTTTTAATTCATAAAAGTATTTTGAGATTTTTGGACCTTTTGACTTTTGACAGTTCTATTGGCATCGGAAATGGAATTTTGCAAAAAACGCCCATCGGCATCTTAAAGTACATGAACGTAGAAATCTTTTAAGCCCTAGAACGTTTAAATCCATCAAAGCAATTTTTGTTTAGAGCTCTGTCCGTGTTGACGTGGAATGTCCCATATATATAATTATTTATTATTATTATAGTTAGTTAGTTATAAATATTTATAATTTATGTTCGAAATTTGTAAATTTATTTATTTTTAAAAAGGTGATTCACATTGATGGCGCAACAGCAATCTTCGTGCACAATAGATATAATGAAGGCACCCAACAATATCAATTGATCATAAAAGAGAACACTATTGTCACCGTTTTAAATGAAAATTTCATCCAAAATGATGATGAAGAAATTCAACAAATAAAATTGATTAATTTAAAAGACTTTGGTGCCAACAAAGAATCTTCAGTTAGTAAGTATATAAAGAAGTTCATTGACATTGTTATAAATATTTTAATTTATTTACATTTATAAATATTAAATACATAATATACAATAATTCATCATCATCATCATCATCATCATCATCATCATCATCATCATCATCATCATCATCATCATCATCATCATCATCATCATCATCATCATCATCATCATCATCATCATCATCATCATCATCATCATCATCATCATCATCATCATCATCATCATCATCATCATCATCATCATCATCATCATCATCATCATCATCATCATCATCATCATCTCATCATCATCATCATCATCATCATCATCATCATCATCATCATCATCATCATCATCATCATCATCATCATCATCATCATCATCATCATCATCATCATCATCATCATCATCATCATCATCATCATCATCATCATCATCATCATCATCATCATCATCATCATCATCATCATCATCATCACATCATCATCATCATCATCATCATCATCATCATCATCATCATCATCATCATCATCATCATCATCATCATCATCATCATCATCATCATCATCATCATCATCATCATCATCATCATCATCATCATCATCATCATCATCATCATCATCATCATCATCATCATCATCATCATCATCATCATCATCATCATCATCATCATCATCATCATCATCATCATCATCATCATCATCATCATCATCATCATCATCATCATCATCATCATCATCATCATCATCATCATCATCATCATCATCATCATCATCATCATCTCATCATCATCATCATCATCATCATCATCATCATCATCATCATCATCATCATCATCATCATCATCATCATCATCATCATCATCATCATCATCATCATCATCATCATCATCATCATCATCATCATCATCATCATCATCATCATCATCATCATCATCATCACATCATCATCATCATCATCATCATCATCATCATCATCATCATCATCATCACATCATCATCATCATCATCATCATCATCATCATCATCATCATCATCATCATCATCATCATCATCATCATCATCATCATCATCATCATCATCATCATTTTTTAAAAAACCTACAAATTAATTAAATTTTATTCAAACAAACGCATTTTCAAAGTATTTCTTGATAAACAATGTTTTTGATATATATCTTTTGTGGAAATTCTAAATTTTTAAATATTGCAGAATCTGTGACGTAAATTTTCAAATGTTCTTTAGATTTAACTCGAGAACAACCAACATAAATTTGACCGTGACCGAATGCTGAAATTGGTAAATATATTCCTACTTTATCAAAAGATTGACCCTGAGATTTGTTAATAGTCATTGCATAAGCAAGTCTAATTGGAAATTGTCTTCTTACCATTTTGAAAGGAAATGCATCTTGAGAAGGAGATAAATCAATTCGAGGAATAAAAACTATTTCACCTTTTGATTTTCCTGTAATTATTTCTGCTGAAATGACGTTTTTCAATAATGATCTTACAACTAATCTAGTTCCATTACACAATCCTTGTACCAAGTTCATATTTCTTAAAAGCATAATTATACTTCCTACCTTTAATGATAATTTATGTGGTGGCAAACCATCTGGTGTTATACTATTTAAAAATTCTACTGGAACAATATTATTTATATCTTTTGAATCATTATCGATGTGTGAATCAATATTGTAATAAACAATTTCTTTTCCTTCTAATTTTTCTAAAATTCGTTCATTCATATTTAATACTTCAGAATTAGTTAATGAAAGAATACAAGAAGAGTAAACAGATACATCATTGGATTTTATAGATGATCCATATATTTCATCAATCAAATTCCCATTTGAAATCAATTCTTGTGGTATTTCAAGAATATTATTTTCTTTTTCAATTATACTTTCTGCTTTACCATCGCCGACATTCAACAACCATTTTGCAAACTCTATCTGTTTATTATCCAATCTAACATTAACATGTAAACACCTAGTTTCAAAATAATTCCACAATATACTATTTTTCACACATACCTCAACAATATGAGTACGACTACCATGTGGAACAATTGGCAAAGTTTGTCTAAAATCTCCTGAAAGCAAAATAACTTTACCTCCAAAGGGTTTATTACATTTTGTTATATCTCGCAACATAGACTCCATTGCTTGTAAAGCATATTTTGGAGCCATTGTAATTTCATCCCAAATAATGATTTTAGCACTTCTTAAAAGTTCAGCATGTTTTGACATTCCACTTATGTTACAAGTTGAATCTTCATTGATTGGTATAGGAAACTTAAACATAGAATGTGACGTTCGTCCACCTTTTAAAAGATTAGCAGCAATACCTATCCATGCTACTGATAAAACCACCAATCCTTCACTTTCAAGAGTAGTAATAATTGTATTGTGTAAATAACTTTTGCCACTACCTCCAGGTCCATCAAGAAAAATATATCTCTTATTGCAATTATCGTCATGTACTGCTATCATAATATCATTAAAAACACTACGTTGATCATTATTTAAACTTTTAATGGGACTATCAGCTTCTTCTTTAAGTAATTGTAATTCCAAAGCATTATCTTCCACTCTTATTGAATCATAATCATCTAGAACTTTTTGATAAATACCTGGCAAACCAAATTGATTAAGTGTAAATCCATGGAAACTAAGTACTTCATTGATTAAAATTAATGATTTTTGAATCGACACTTCTGTAGGTAAACTATTATCAAAAATCATATGTTCCTTATATTTTTTCCATAAATCAACAGCATTCACAGGCAAACCAAACACACATATATATGCAAATAAACGACAAAGTTCTTTAGGAAATTTCATACTTACGGCTTCAGTCAAACAATTATCCCACTCATTATCATCTACCATCAAATTTCTAGCACGCGCTGCTTCTGCAAAAGTGTTATACTTAATACCTTCGTATGTCCTTATATCTTCAAACGATTTTGCACCACGTACATAAAGAAGCAAAATTCTCAAAAAATATCTTTCAATATCTTTTGGACTAACAAAATACATACGACAAATTAAAGGCTTAGTGACCCGTTCCCTTATTTTCCAAGTTTTTGATGATTCAACGAAAACATACTTATGTGGTATTTCTGCGTATAAATACTTTCGAGCTTCAGGACTTTCTGCATTCAATTTAAACCATGCTGTCAAAGTCGTATTTTTAAATTTATTAACTGCTTCTTCCTCTAATCCTTCTTTAAAACATATTGATTGTTGATTAGGTAAATGTACAGCTAGTCTATATGTTGCATGTGATTGTTCATGCATATTAAATTCATATAATCTATGCATTGCTTCTGGTGGACATACATAACGTGTATTTAAATAATGTATAATTTCATCATATTGCATTTCCTTATTATTATTATCCTTATATCCTATTATCGCACAATCATGTCCCTTATAACAATATTTAAATAAATATTTAACGCCACCTGTACTACCACATGCTACAACATTAATATGACATTCAAATTTTTTGCTCAAATAGGGGTTATATGGTACAATCATCGAATTATCTGCAATACATTTAATAGACCCATCCTTGTTATAAAAAATAATTTGTTTACCATCATTTCTTCGTCTATATTCTGGATAATTTTTAGAATGATAATTTGTCTCTGAACAAAACGCTTTCGGATAATGTTTTGTACAAACTTTCTTCTCAGGATCCATACAAGGTGAATTCACATTTTGATTTCCGCAAGGCCCATGAACTTGAAATTGTCTGACAATACTAAAGAGCTCTGGATTCTTTGATTCATCTGGAATTTCTGCACATATTATTTGATCAACAGTTTCTGCATCACGAATTGGATTACCTAAAAATACAATTATAATTAAGGAAGATTTCGACTATATCAGCAATTAGTGACATCTATTAGACGTCAATTGAACTCTTTGGTTTAGAGTCAGGTGTTATTCTTAAGATAATTATTCCGATATGGTTGTCGGTAAATAATTATATTTTTGAATTTAATTTTTGATCTGAAAAAATAAGCTGCGTGAACGACTGCACTGTGCATCTGTGAGGACTCGAACCCCAGTTAATAGCTGCCTATCGCGGGACTAACGCCTACCAATGCACCATGCCAACACAGCCTGGACGTTCACGTTTCTTATAATCTCAGATCAAGCCCATACACTAGTCGAAGAGCTGTATAGTTAATGTAGGAAATTATTTGCTGATGAAGAATTTTAATTAAGGAAGATTTCGACTATATCAGCAATTAGTGACATCTATTAGACGTCAATTGAACTCTTTGGTTTAGAGTCAGGTGTTATTCTTAAGATAATTATTCCGATATGGTTGTCGGTAAATAATTATATTTTTGAATTTAATTTTTGATCTGAAAAAATAAGCTAGATACGTGAACGTCCAGGCTGTGTTGGCATGGTGCATTGGTAGGCGTTAGTCCCGCGAAAGGCAGCCAAGAATAAGTTCGGATAAAATAATATTCGGTTCGGATAACAGACATTCGGATAATCGAGGTTCCACTGTACATTTATTTATTCAACATTGTAAATTTATTCCTTTCTTATAAAAACATTGTTTTATCGAATAATTTCAAAATCAATTTTTTAAATTTTTTTACGTTTCCAAACAACAGAATCTCAAAAATGATATTTTTAAAAAAAGGTAATTATGTGTATATGTGACCGGGACTGAGAAAAGGGACTTACTTACCAAAAAATCGATTTTTTTATGATGGTTTCTTATAGTTTAACCCCTTGGCTGTCAAAGAGATTTCCACTGTTTGGGCCAAAAGTGTGTTGAAAAAATTTTTAATGGATTTTTATGAAACTTGGTACCCTAAGGTTTCTGGGGTCGCTGATAACGAATCTGACATCAGTTTTTCGAAATTCAAAATGGCGTATCCAAGATAGCGGAAATTTTTTCAAAATTTGTCGAATTTGCTTGAAACTTGTTACTCGGGGGTTTTAAGGGTCACTGATTACGAATCTAACATTTGTTTTCCAAAATTCAAAATGGCGGATCCAATATAGCGGACAACGAAATAAAAAATTAATCAGATTGGCTTGAAACTGAATACTTGGGGATTTTCAGGGTCGCTGATTACGAATCTGAAATCAGTTTTTCAAAATTCAAAATATTTGGTTCAATATGGCGAAAAAATTTTTAAAATTTATTGAATTTGTTTAAAAACGGGTTAATCTGACATCAGTATTATAATTTTTGGTGAAATCAAATTTCGATAAATACCCTGAAAAACTAATGTCAGATTCGTAATCAGCGACCCTAAAAACCCCCGAGTATTGAGTTTCAAGCCAATCTGATCAATTTTTTATTTCGTTGTCCGCCATACTGGATCCGCCATTTTGAATTTTGGAAAATGAATATCATATTCGTAATCAGCGACCCTTAAAACCCCCGAGTAACAAATTTCAAGCAAATTCGACGAATTTTGAAAAAATTTCTGCCATTTTGGATCCGCCATTTTGAATTTCGAAAAACTGATGTCAGATTCGTAATCAGCGACCCCAAAAACCCCCGAGTACTACGTTTCAAGTCAATCTGATCAATTTTTTATTTTGTTGTCCGCCATATTGGATCCGCCATTTTGAATTTTGGAAAATGAATATCATATTCGTAATCAGCGACCTCGAAAACCCCCGAGTAACCGGTTTCAGGAACATTCAAGAAGTTTTTAATCACTTGTTTTAAGTTGTGCATAAATGCGTCATGAACCACTTTTGGCCAGTTTAGTTTTGCGCATATATGCGTCAGCGACAGTCAACGGGTTAAGGTCCTAGAAATACAATGCTATCAGTCCTGATTGTTAAAAATTTTTTTTTATGAAAATATAAGTAATTTTAAGACAAAAATTACTCTTGGTTGTCTAAGTGTCAAGAATATTTCCCCTAAATCTAATATTGAATGCCTAAACCATTTACAAAAAATTCTACTTAATTCCTCGAAGATGATCCCCAAGTATACCCGGCATCGGCAATCTGGTTGTGCAAGTCAAAAAATAACTATGGATTATTGTAGAGTTCAGAATTATTTATTATTTTATCAGTTCTGAACTTGCATATAAAATTTCAGACCTCTAGGACATCTGGAAGTCTTTTAAATTAATTTTGAAAATTCCATAATTTGACTTTTGCAAAGTAAATTGTTTATAACAATTACAATGTTGTTTGAACAATTATTTAACCATGAAAATCAGATTCAGCATAAAAAAATACATAAAGAACACTCATCATGTTAATTTAAATGTAAAATGTTTCAAGAAATCTAATTTATTTGGATAGAAAACTTTAAACGCGTTTTTCTCGAAAAGTTGATTTTGGTAAGTAGGTCCCTTTTCTCAGACCCGGTCACATATGTAAACATCTCATAATTATTTCGAGTTCTATAAGAGCTAAAGAAATTAATATTTTTACATTGTAAATAACTTTGGCAGACAAATAATATAATCATTGCTCTTTAAATCTTATTCATTAAGTTTAATTTTTTTCCACGTTTTAAAAGTATTCTAAAAACGTTTTTTGCAAATTATGATTATTTTAATTTTTAAATTTACATTTAAAGATTTTTCATTAAAATTTTTGATAATTCAATTATTTTCCATATTTGCAATTAAAATTCTTCAAAACTTGATTTTCAAAAATTGAAACTAAATACTTGAAAAAAATAATCATTTTCAATTAAATTTGACAAAATTTAAATTATTCAAAACAATTTTTATTATAGATATATATTTGACAATTACCATAAAAATGATTCAAAAATAATTTTTGAAAGATTTGCTTATAGTTATTTTTCGCACTATAAAAATTGAAATAAGTTGTATTTTATACTAAAAAATGTGGTATTTTCTTGTAACGTTAGGAAAAAAGTCGAAAAATTCGCAATTTTTGAAAATAAGTTGAAAAAAGTATCAATTTTCTTATTTTCCTGAAAAGAATTTTTTTCTGACATTTCCCTGACTTTACTTTGACAATTTTAACTGAAATTAATTTTAAAATCAATTTTTATTAGAAAATTCTACTACAATTTAATTATTTAATTAAAATTATTTATACAAAAATAAATAATTTATCGAATAATTGAATGTTTCTTAAAATTCAATTCCCATAAAGAACCGTTATCAACATTTTTAAATAACTGAATTCTATCAATGAATTTTAACAAAAGTTTTTTAAGAATAATTAAATTTTTAGAGAAAATTAATTAAAATTGTATTAAAAATAATTGAAATTCTGCAATGACTTTTATTATTTGTGAAAATAATTGAATTCCTAAGAAGAATTTTATCACTTTTGAACAATATTTAATTTTTGCGAAGAATATTAATACTCTTGAAAATAATTGAATTTTTGCAATAATTTGTAACTTTTTCAAAATTGAATTTTTTTTCGTGTTTTAACTAAACATCTTCCCTAAATCCATTATTTTTAATAATTTTTGAAAAAGTTTTTAATAATTTCTAAAAAAGTTCTTTTAGAATTTTCAAATTCATTTGTTTACAATTATTCAATTTTAGAAAATTTCAATTCTTATTCGTAAAAATTCTTCAATTATATATTAGAAAATAAAAACTTTAAATAATTTCAAAAAAATTAATTGTTAGTTAAAAATATGAAAAATTTATTCCTTTGATGAATTTAAAAAAAAAATTAGAATTTGTTCGACGAATTCTATTAAAATTATATTAAAAATAATTAAAATTTTGCAATTAGTTTTATTATTTATAAAAATAATAATTGAATTCCTTAAAAGAATTTTATTTTATTATTTACGAAAATAATTGAATCCAAGTAAAAATTTTTATCATTTATTTATGAAAATAATTGAATAATTGCAAAAGAAATTTTTATAAAAAAATTTGTAAATAATAAAATTCCTGTGAAATTTTTATTATTTTTTGAAAATAATTAAAAGTTTGTATAGAATTTTATTAAATTTTTTTAAAAATAATTTAATCATTGAATTGAGGAACATTTTTTAACATAATTGAATTTCTGCGAAGAATTTTATTACTTTTGAAAATAACTAAATTTCTGAAATCATTTGTAATTTCATTTCTCTAAAATTATCCAATTTATATCGTACAATTTACGAATTTTTATCCTTTTTGATTAAAATTATGGACTTAACGCACCTTTTTTTTAAAAAAACGAACTTTTACGCGATTTACGGATCTAGTTCAAGTCCTGCCACCCTGAAATAAATATTTGTTAGATCCAAATAAACATTATTTGAATTAAACGTTTTTCAAATTACTTAAATTAATTGAATCAAATAATTTTTTATTCGATATAAATCTGAATCAGTGAAATTTGTTCATTCACAAAAAAATGAATGATATTTCAATAATTCCGTTGTTGATTTAAAACATTTTTTTGAAATTTAATGAAATTTATTAATTTTTTAAGAAATTTAATTTTTAAGTCATTGTTTTTTAAAAAATTCTGTAAAAATGAAGAATTATAAAAAATTATTTTACAGTTAATAGTATTTTCTAAAATTGTAACTGTAATAATATTTTTAAAATCAATTCTTTTCACAATAAAATTTAACAACGAGAATATTGAATCATTCAAGTAGAATAGAATTATTTTTCTAAAAAATTTAATTTAAAAAATTTTTAATTACAATTCCCAATTGTTTTAATTTTAAAAAATTATTATTCTCGAGAATATGCAAATAATTTTTCTTCATACCTCGGTCGAAAGTACGTATTTCCCGCTGCGATTTCGCAGCAGAAAGTTAAACATTTGTGCTTTGGCTGATTTTCATACCCAACCTCTATTACAGCGGGAGTAAAAGAATTCTCTGTCGGTAAAAACACCACTGTCGGTAAATAAGAAAATTTCGAGTTCAATGACAATTTAACGAGTAATTGTTATCGCAATATAAAATGAGAAAAAAAATTATCAAGAAAACTTTTTATACTTTATAAATTTATTATCCACAAGCTCTGAATATTGAAATGAACGAAATCTTTTGCTGATATAATTATTTTCAAAAATTATTTTAATAAACATTAAAAACAAAAATAAAATAATTAATAATTTTGTAATTTCTTTTTTAATACGTACCAAAATGATATTATAAAATTGTAATAATTTGAAGAAATAATGAAAGTGTTTTCATTAGAATGTTTAGAATTTTAGAAACATAGAATTAATTTTGTACCACCAGAAAAATTCTTTTGAAAATATAATATTAATTTATCTTTCACATTTTTTTTCGTGCCTGCCCCCGACCAGAAGCACTCGCTTCGCTCGTGCATCAAATGTCGGGGCAGGCGAATATTGTTTGCAAGAGAGAGACAGAGAAAAAACCAGAGCTTCACGAGTGTCCGCTAGAGGCGTTGAAGCGAGGAGCAAAAGTAAAAAAAGATGGCCGGCTGTCAAATGAAACTCGATTGCAATTTTCTTAAAAAATAAATTACCCAGCGTACTTTCGACCGCATATAAAGAAAAATAGTATACATTACACGGGCAGAAATTCGAAAGCCCTAAACTACGCGATAATGCCCTCGGCTTCGCCTCGGGCATCATTTCGCGCAGTGCAGGAATTTCGAACTTTCTGCCCTTATAATGTAATATACTATTAATTACCATTTTCCAAAAACCTAATTTTTCTCATAATTTAAACATTAAATATTTCCAATTTTAATAATTTTTGTGAAAAAGATATTAATTAAAATACCAATTGTTATTTATGTGCTTAAAATTTTTAAACACTTTCAAATTAAAACTGTTAGAAATTTAATTCTTCCAAAATTATATTATTTTTTTAGAATTATTGGATAATATTACCAAAAAATATTAATTTTCAAGAAAACTAATAAATTAATGATTTCTTACATTTAAATATTATTATACTTTAACTTTTCTATTTATTTTCTAAAATATTAACTAAAATTAACTTTTCTATTTATTTTTTTCTAAAATATTAACTAAAATTCTTAATTTAATCAATGGTTATCAGAATTCAAGTGCGAGAATTCAATAATTCAAATGCAAAAATAATAAATTATTTTTAAAAACTGAAACTATACCTCTTTTTTGTATTTATGAATTTTTAAATTATTATAGTTAATTGTGAAGAATAATTTCACTTTAACCTCAAAAACGCATGTTTGTCAAAGTAAACTTTGTTTACATCTGTCTAAACATACGTCACAAGACTCTGACGTCATATATATAACCTGTATAAGAAAATGTGAATTTAAACTTACCAATCTGTCCAGCGTTTTCTGCTATTCCAATGTCAGGTTGAACCGGCTGAACACAACACAATACACAATATATTCGCGATTCAAACACACACGCTCGACAATTGTGTAATTCTAATAAAATGGTATATACCACACACACACGACTAATGACAACGAGACGCCACGACAAATTTTAAAGCCAATGAAAAAACAAAAGCATACACAAAAGTCTAACTTCAAGTGTGGACAGAATGGACAGAATACGACGATTATTATAGTTAATGCTTTTCATTGTTTTTATCAATTATTTTATGTTTTTTTTTAATAAAATAAATTACATTTCTTATCTAAGAATTAATTTTTATAAAATTTTATATTATTTTAATAATATATATTTTTTAACATAAATTTATTTATTCGCAAACTTCTGGAAACTTAACCCTTACAAATTCACAAAACTATTAAAACTACACGGAGAAACTTTTAATACCACTAATTCTTAAAACTGGTGAGACATTTTAGTATGTTAGGTTAGATTCAAGGGAAAAACGACATAGGTTATAGAAATTGCTATTGAGACTATCAAAAACACTCATTCAGTATATATTTGACAGTTCTTCATAAGGAAACTAACGAAAATTAGTATGTTGTTTTAGAAAGAAAATAATAATTTTTGCAAAGTTGGGAAAGCCATGAATTAAAAAGAAACACAACAAATTAATTGTCTATAGATACTCATAGAGACGATAGTGATACTTGGATCTGATGGTAGATGGCATTAGTGTATGTCACTGTAACTGTAGGTAAATATATTTAACACGACGTAAGAACCTAACCTATATTATTAACGCACACACGCACACGCAAGTAAAGACACGACGATTGGTCACGGAAACCGATAGATCGCACAATTCGTTAGAAGTACACAGCTGAATCGTCCTTATATATTAAACGAGTGGAAAAATATGTGCCTTCGAGAGAGAGCATTTTTTAAAATAACTTACTAATCAAATTATGTAAATAAGTAAAAGTCGTGAAAAAAATTATGTTATATTGAGGAACAGTTCTTGAATTGAATTTGGCATGAGGAGACATTCATGTTTATTAATAAAAGTTTTTTTTCTTTCATACACGTGTGAATTTCAACTTCGAAAACATTAGGGTTAGTTCGCGACGTCAGGTGATGGACTCGGTGATGCTCGGGCGAAATCGGTTAAGTCCGCCCGCAGTCCTTCCAAAATTGGTATGTTACGTTAGAATGTCTGTTATATATTCTATCTATATGTGGAAAAAAGGTTAGAATTACCGTATTATTTCACAAACAAAAACTAGCATTTTATTCTTTTCTAAAGAAAAATAAGACTATTTCTAATGCAGATAGTAATTTTTGTACACCGAAGGTTGCTTAATATATAACGAACTTATCATATTTTCGTATTAATGTTGAAATTATTAGCACAACGCACGAAAAATCCTCACATTCTAACGTACTTTTAGAATAAAGATATCCAAATATATTCAATATTAGAAGAAAAAGTTTCTCCGTGTATTTAAAAAAAAATTATTATTGAAATTGTTGTCAATTAAATAATATTTGATCAATTAATCATGAATAAATGTACAAATAATTAAATTCTTACTAAACACAAAATTTATACTTTGTAAGTAAACAAAATACTTTTCAGAAAAGGTTAAAAGTAATATTCTCTTGTAATATTTAAACTAAAATTGGTTATAATCAATAATGAGCTAATGATAAATGAATGCATAATGCTATAATTGTATTCATAAAAATAGAGTTATCAGAAATTTACAAACTTGTAAAGTTAAAGTAGCAGTACATAAAAATTCGATCACAATAGATCTTTCAGAACAGCTTTAACCTTACAGTACGACAATTAAAAAAATTATTATAATAATAATCTAGAATTATAATTTGATTTGATTTTGGATTATAAAGTGTATAATCTATTGTGAAAATCAGAAATAATTCCAAAACATTGAAAAGTTGTAAATAGATTATAAGGGGTAATAATCATATTGTACTCAATATGATCTTATTTTCCATATTTCTAATTTTATAATAAACTAGCGACAAGCGCTCTAAAGCGCGCGGCTAACTTCTTACTACCTTTTTAAAATAAAATTAGCAATTTTAAAAATAATAAAATTTGAAAATTTTCTAATTTAAATTTTTTTTTTGAAAATACTCAAAAAAAATTCAATTTTGTAGAATTTAAAAATAATTGCAAAATTCAAAAAAATAAAATTCTTCTTATCAATTTCAACTATGTTCAAATCTAAAAAAATTCTTGAAAATTCCCAATTATCCTTACACGGAGAAACTTTTTCTTCTAATATTAAATATATTTGGTTATCTTTATTCTAAAAGTACGTTAGAATGTGAGGATTTTTTGTGCGTTGTGCTAATAATTTCAACATTATGTTACGTCACCGTAACCTATTTTCAATAATAATATGTAGAATAATAATTAATCTTAATAATTAATAATAATAATAGTAATCATGATAATTAATAATAATAATAATAATAATAATTAATAATAATAGTAATAATCATAATAAAAGTTAACAACAAAATTGTTATTTACATATTATTATATAAATAATAACTATAAATATTAATAATAATCAATAATAAATTGTAATAATATTAACAAATAATAACAAACAATAATAAATTGTAATAATAAACATAAACAATTATAAATTGTAATAAATAAGTTAAATATAACAATCTTAACAACAATCTTTAAGAAATAATAATAAACAATAATAAATTGTAATAATAAACATATACAATAATAACTTGTAATAATAAACGTAAACAATAATAAATTGTAATAATAAATATTAAAAAAAACAAAATGTAATAAATAGTTAAATATAACAAATATAACAACAAACTTTAACAAATAATAATAAACAATATAAATATTAAATAATAGAATTGTAATAATAAACAACAACAAAATTGTAATAATAAATAACAAATTAAAAATTAACAAATTGTAACAAATTATAAATAATGAATTGTAACAACAACAAATTATAAACAATTAATGGAAATAACAAAATTATAAAATAACGTATGAATAATAAGCAATGGACACGTGCGATCTAATAGTGAGTCACCACAAGTGTTTCTATAACAAAGGGTTTCTCCAAATGCATGGAAAAGCGAACGATTCTCCAAATGCATGGCAAAGCGAACGATTCTTCAAATACATAGCAAAACGTACAGTTTCTTCAAATACATGACAAAACGTACACTTTCTTCAAATACACAGGGAAATTTGGGTATAAGAAGGACCAGACCATCAAACGATCTTCAGTCTTAAAATTTTATCTATAACAAGTGGTTCTTCACGACAGAGTGCCCTAAACCCAGTTTCAGTAGTTGTCCTTTACTCTACGTATATTTCAAAAGTGCATTTTGGAAAGTCGATCTGGAAGTCAAATTTGCCATTTGAAAAGAGTGTTCCTGTTTCTCGAGACACAATACTGCATCCAATTAGTCAACCATTAAAGGACCAGTGCCATTATACCTGAACGTCTAGCATCACCCTTTGGCCCAAGGTAAACAATCAACCACTCTAAGACTCACATTAGAAAGCCTGTGTCCATCTCTTATTTTCATCAATTTTATCTTATTTCATAAAATACACATACATTTGTTCAACTAAAGTAATTTCTTGTTATTTACTACCCCGTCCCTATTTTAATTAATTTTAAAATAAAATCGGGAAACATTAGGGAAATTATAATAATTAGGATCGTAACAATTAATACGAAAATATGGTAAGTTCGTTATATATTAAGCAACCTTCGGTGTATAAAAATTACTATCTGCATTAGAAATAGTCTTATTTTTCTTTAGAAAAGAATAAGATGCCAGTTTTTGTTTGTGAAATAATACGGTAATTCTAACCTTTTTTACACATATAGATAGAATATATAACAGACATTCTAAAACGTAACATACCAATTTTGGAAGGACTGCGGACTTAATGACATTCTAAAAGCAAAATTAATGTTTGAACAGGTAGAGAAAAATACTGTCTGTCAATTAAAAATATGGTTATAAAGACGAAGACAGTGTTTAAAGGGTAAAAAAGTCTATATTGTTTACATGTAAATAAGGTTATGTTATGTTATGAACATAACCTTACCAACAGGTCTCATTTTCGACATACTTGACAAGTTTTGCAATTACTTCGAATATTTTCATTCCTAATATTTCATTTTTTAACTGTTAAACGGTTTTGGGAAAGAAATAAAGTAATAATTTTCAGTCAAATAAGACTTGCAACGAGTATCACTTTTGCAATTTCCAAAACAACATTTCTTTTGTGCATCAATTTTTTTCCTTTGTGGATTATTTTTCTCAGGGATACTGCTCATTTTTAATACACGCTAATTTTTTTTTTCTACATTCATTAGTAATATTTGTTAATTACTTTTCACTATTGGCACCTGTGCATTTTGTACAAAAAGTGCTCGAAACTTTGTCGGAAGTTCTATATATATTCCGCGCTTGCGCAGTACAGATTTCTTAAATGAAAAGGTCTATGAGTGTATTTGATAGTCTCAATAGCAATTTCTATAACCTATGTCGTTTTTCCCTTGAATCTAACCTAACATACTAAAATGTCTCACCAGTTTTAAGAATTAGTGGTAATAAAAGTCTCTCCGTGTATAAATAACAAAATTACTCTCCAAAGTTCAATTATTTTCAGAAATTTTTCTAATTTTAATAATTTCCAATAACTACGATTTTAATAAAATATTTCCCAAAATGAATTCAATTATTTTAAAAAAAACCTTAATTTGAATTTTAGAAAATGACAATTTGAATGAATGAATTAAATAATAAAAATTTCAGAGGAATTCCATTATTTACAAATATCTTTATAAATTTCTTCGCAAGAATTAAAGTATTTCAAATAATAAAACTCCTCTCAGGAATTAAATTATTTTCAATACAACTATTAAAAATTCGATTGTATTGAATAAATTAAAGAAACTTTTAAAAAAAATTCAATTATCTTCCAAAAAATTTTTAATAAAATTCAAGAATTAAATGCTTAATTTCAATTATTAAGAAAGAGGATTATTATAAAAACTTGAAAGAAGTTATTCATATAGAATTCAATTACTTTAAAAACTTGTAATTAAAATTATTATTAAAGAAAGTCCATTATTTCAAAGAAACTGAAAGAAATTCTTCAAAAGAATTCAATTAAGATTATGTAAAATTTTAATAAAATGCTTCCCAAATTTGATTATTCTCACAAACAATAAAATTCTTCGAAGAATTCAATTAGTATCAAATTTTTGATAAAATTCTTTGAATCAATTTAACTATTCAAAAAATTTTTTTTTGATTCAAAAAGAAAGTTTTGGAAAATAAATAATTTTTCTATTTCTTAATTACAGTTGTTTAATAATTTTCGAATTTTCTTTTTTTTTCTAGAAGTAGAGAACAAAAATAAATTCAATTTGACAAAACATAATATTTAACAAAATTTTAGTCTTTTAATGAAAAGAAGTAAAAAAAATTCTTATGATTTCTATTTTCTATCTAAAGTTAACAAAAAAAAACAAAAATATAAATAGAAGACAACTTCAGAGTGTGAGGGACAGAAAAAGTGAATGAATGAAAGAATGAAGGAACATTCAAATTAATATAGTTAATTTTTCTCCGTCTAATAACAATAGTCACCATCATTACACCATACTATACTCTATTGCAATAATAGTGCCAATAGTAACAACAACAATAATAATAACCAATTACTATTAGTTGACAATTAAATCACTATAATCTCTATAATTAATTCATATATAATTGGAATTTAATACATAAATATTATTCGTTATGCTGAGTACACAATAGGTTGAAAAATTAAGTGGCGAGTGGCGTGGAGTGTTTGATAGTGGGAGCAGTGTTGCCAACCGATTTTACTTTCAAATATCTATAATCGTAACCTCAACTTTTATTTTTACATTTTCAAACATTTTGTCATTTTTTTCGCTCATTATTTTGGAGTTACTAAATAGTTAATGTTAAGAATCTTTGAAATCATTTTAGTGTTATTTAAATTTTTCTAAGGTAAGTACATAATTTTAATAACATGATTTGAATGGTAGGTGGTCACTTTTTCTAAAAAATATTTTCTAATCCTTTTTGTATAAAATAAAGATTTCTAATGAAATCTGTTTTCTAAAAGAAGTTTTTCTAACAAGTTTTGATTTCTAAAAAGTTATGACATCTAATATTCATTTTCCTAAAATTTGTAAAATTTCATAATTTTGAAAAAATTAGAAAATTGAAAATTAAGATTAGGAAATATTTTCTGCTTCTCGATCATAATTCTGTTCTTCTTTGAAAAAAGAAAAAAAATTTGCATAATTTTTATACCAAAATTTCCAAAATTAATATATTTATAAAACATTTTTTTATAAAATTTTAAATGTAATTTTAGGAAAAGAATCCCTATAATTTATATTTGTTGATTACGATTTTTAACTAGATTATTTAAAAATTTTGTTAAAAAATATGCATAATTTCTATTTTTTTACAATTTTTTAACGAAATCTCAAAGATTTTTTAAACAAATTTTCATAAATTTTATTTTTTAATCATATACCTATTGATTGTCATTACAAAAATTGAATTTTGTTAGAAAAAATAAATTTGAAGAATATTTTTATTAGAAAAAGAAATTTTTATAAAATTCAACTACAAAAATTATTTTCGTTTGAAAAAAAATTATTTTTCGTGAATTTTATGTTATTCGCTGTTGCCTTTTCTGAATAATTATATTTTTAATTGTAAAAAAACACATTGGCTGGTTTTTCTTCGAGATGCAATTAAACATATCTTCAAAACAAATGAAAAGGTCGTTTTCTTCTTCATATCTACGAAGACGATCTTCAACCTGAGATAGACCAGGAGTATTTTCAGATTCTGCAAAAGAAATTATATTTCATGCCGGATCCTAAAGAAATAATAAAAATAATAAAAAAAATAAGTTGAAATACCTTCTTCTGATTCAATAATCGGTTGAACATTGCTGCTATCATCATTATTATTTTCAATATCTTCAAAATTACAATTATCAAACTGATTATTTCTATTGTTATCATTATCATCATCTTCATCACTGTCCGATTGATCTCTGCTCACTGTCCTCTTATGTTGACTAGATATTATTCTGCAAATACAGGTCAGGGAATTCAGAAAAAAGTCAGGGATTTTTATTAAAAGTACTGTTAAAATTAAATGTTTAGAATTTATAAGAAAATTTCGAATTTTTGTGTCTTTTTGTTTGACTCTAAAATAATGAAAATTTCACAGGAATTCAATATTATCATAAATAATAAAACTCATTGCAGAATTTCAATCATTTTTAACATAATTTTAATCGAATTTCTCGGAAAATGTAATTATTCTTAAAAATTTTATTAAAATTCGTTGAAAGAATTCAATTATTTAAAAATTTGGAAATAAAATTATGTATAAGAATTTAATTTTAAAAACATTAAATTATTCAATAAATTATTTGTTTGCAGTTAAATAATTGAATTCTCTTAATTTTTTTTACATAAATATTTAATTAAAAATTAATTTCAGTTAAAGTTTTAGATAATTAATGAATTTTAGAGAAGTTACTAAAAAATGAAATGTTTGGAAATAATTCAATTTTGTAAAAGTTTTAAATTAAAATCTTTGAAAATCTGAATTTTTCATACTTTCAATTAAAAATTCTATGAAACTAATTTTTTCAAAAAGCTGAATCGAAATTTTTAAAAATTATTTCAAGTTTTTATTTTCTAATGTATAATTAATTGAAAAATTTCTGAATAATTGAAATTTCGGAAAATTGAATTGTAAACGAATGATTTTAAAAATTCTGAATAGAACTTTGGGGTCGTTCATAAACTACGTCACACTCCTAGGGGTAGGGGGGTGTCAAGCTTTGTATGACGAAATGTGGAAAAAATTTTTTGTATGAAAGAAATGTTACGAAGGGGGGGGGGGAATCAGTCCGAAAAAGCGTGACGTAGTTTATGAATGACCACTTTATCAAAAATTATTAAAAAATTTTTATTTAAAGAAGAGTTTTATTTAAAAATTATAGAAAATAATTGAATTGAAATTGCGAAATAATTTTAAAAAGTTACAATATTTATAATATAAAATAATGATTTTATCACTCTGTCACCTGTAATTATTGCAAGTTATTAAATTTCAAAAGGTTTGAATTAGAAATTTTGAAAGTCTTAGTTCCCATGGCAAAATAATAATAATTAAAATAATATTTATTTAAAAATAAAGATTTTGGTGTTTTTTAATAATTTTACACCCAGTAAAAAAAAGTATTGGAAGAGAGCGAATAGTATTGGCGGTGAGATTCTGCCAATATGTTTTCGCGTGAAAACCGTATTGGGGGCATTCTGCCAATCCTGCTTTTCCACCGTCAATACTGTCCTCTTGAATCTTTCGATTTCACGTTGATTGACTTGACTTGAACTGTTTATCTATTACGACATGATTCAGGGAGCTTTCGACGTTCGCGCTAGGGGCGCTGTGAGTATAAGTCACAGCGCTTATCTAGAAAATACCCTAGTACACAGTCTGCTGTCAAATTTTATTTATTTACATTTTAACAAAGTTTTATACTTCCTGTTCGTTATCAGCATTTTTACACATTAAATCAATCATGGAGTCAATGAACGTGAAATCGAAAGATTTAAGAGGACAGTATTGACGGTGAAAAAAGCAGGATTGGCAGAATTCCCCCAATACGGTTTTCACGCGAAAACGTATTGGCAGAAACTCACCGCCAATGCTATTCGCTCTCTTCCAATACTTTTTTTTACTGGGCAATTAAAGAAATTTGTAAATAAATGTAATAGATCATTTTTTTTTGAGTATATCTAATAATTTTTAGAGTGAATGAGAATATTCTTTAGGTTCAGAGAAAAAGTTAAAATTTTGTTTGGAAATCAGGGAAAAACAAAGTTAAATTTTTGTGGCATCCTTGTGAAATTAATGACGTAAAAAATGGTACATACTCACGATAATCAGAAGACTTTTCCAAAAAATTCATAGCTTTATAATAAACAAATGGAGGATATTCATCTGGAGCCTCTGATCCTGAAGGAGTATACTTTTTGTTTCTTTCTCGTTGCTCATCAAAATCGGATTTCAAATCTGCCCAAATTTTTTGAACTTTTGGAACTAAAAGTACCACCGTAAATATGACAATTATAAAAGAAAAATTTATAAATTATAACAGAAAAAAGCTAAATTTTAATTTAATTTGTAACATATGTACCTGTATACTTTTTGCTCCCCGTCATTGCAATCATAGTCTTGGAAATTTCTTCCCATGATTCTCTTTTTTTTGTAGTATTTCTACACTGAAAAACTGTTGGTAGAGCAGTTCCGCTATTGACTGTTGTGCAGCGCTACTTAACTTTAAACTCACAGCTCTATCAAAATTAGGCGAGTTGCTCTCCTAAACTTGACTACCAATGGCGTTGGCGAGCGGCTGCTTGACAAAAAGGTCAGCAGCTCTATCAAAAAGGAGAGTTGCTCGCCCAAAAAGGAGAGTAACTCGCCCAAAAATAAAGTGAGCTGTGCGTTTCTTTTTAACGCAGCAGTTCACCGCATTGGGCGAACAGCTCTACCAACAGTTTTTCAGTGTAAATGTATTTGAAGATCTTTTATGTAAGTATGGACGTTGAGATACCATATAAATTAATATTTCAATAAAATCCACATCTTTCCTCGTTGCCATTTAAAAAAAAATTATTTTAAATTTTCAATAAATGTCAGAGGTTAGGAATCTAAATTCATTTTTTTAACAAACAAAAGCTATTGATAAACATAAGAATGTTTTTAATTTGACACTCCTGTTGATTTACAAACAACTTCCTTCTGTAAGTCTTCATTTGTTTTCAATTAAAAAAGTTGTCAAAAAAGATTTGATTTGTATACATTATTAATTATCCTCGTGCATTTTAAATAACATAAAATTAATAAGATGAATCTTGATTTACATTCAGAATTAATTAAAATTGTGCGTCAACGTAATCGATGGATTTACGATCCACATTATCGATGTAAATATAATGTGGGTATTTTAAAAAATGACAATTGATCCGGCATTTAGCTCAATGCCTAGGCATTGGGCTAAATGCCGGCAAGTACATAAATGAATCGTGAAAAATAGTTATTTATCTATTTGCCTGAAATCAATTAGTCATTTAGCTTATTGACTAGGCGTTAAGGAAATTGCCTAAGTAGCACCCGGCAAATAGAAAAATGAGAATATGTGCATGTGTCACTCAACAGAAATATTTAAAAAAAATATGTCAAAATTAATTAACACAAATATTTTATTATCAATAATAATAATAATAATAATAAAATATTTAGTTAAATGATTGAAATAAAATGAAAAATATAATTCACAAAATAAAATTACTTAGACGTTTTGATTTCCAATATAATGCAATATTAATTGTGGGATAGATTCGAGATAGATAGATTCGATTCCATGACCAATACTTGTGTGTGCTTCCAAAAGTTTCGGATAGTAATCTTCAAAAGGTATCATGTACACGAAATTGTCAGTTTCGGTTTTCCTTTTTTCTATAACAGAGCACTCTTGTCCAACTTGTAGAATTTCGTATTTCTTAAGATAATGATAATGTGAAGGATCTTTTTCAAACCGCACTTAGAATTTTTTAAAATTGACTCCACATTTTCCAATTGATTTTTACTCCACATACTTCGATTACTACAACCTTTAATAACTTCCTTACATTTCTTTTCGAATATGGGTAGTTCTACAAACGAGGGAATATATGTTGTCCAAGGTTGTTTTTTACATTAATTTAAAAAAAATAAAATTATTTTTAATGGGTACTGTAGTGCTTAATGATTACTATTATGCCTCAAAACGTTACCCGGTTTCAAAAAAATTTTTCTGCAAAAAATAAGCATTCAAGTGCTAAATTCTCAGTTTCCTGGCATGTCCCAATGTGAAAATGAAAGTTAATAAATTATATAAATATTATTTTTAAGCGATTAAATACAAATTTACACTTGGATAATAATTTCAAATAGTTGTACTTCACAAAGATTTAAATAATTGTTACAATACTTGATATTTTATTTAAAAAACATTATCTTAAATTTTGTCCCTCGAATTAATTCTCAGTTTCCTGGCATCATAAAAAACGTTAAAGTTATTCAGAATTTTTATTCCGATTAATTCAATATTTTTCACAGTGCTTAGTAAAGGTAAGCTTAATGAAACTTAATGAAACTTTTTCGTACATTGACCACATCATAAATATAGTTAACAAGGCAACTAGAGCCCTGGGTTTCGTCATGAGGAATGCAAAACAGTTTCATAATGTGAGGGCCTTGCTAGCGCTGTATTTTGCGCTTGTTAGGCCTATACTTGAATTTGCCTCTACGTTGTGGAGACCTTGTCAAACTTATTTAATAATGGATATTGAGAGAGTCCAAAATAGGTTTTTAAGATTTACAGCTAGACAAATTGGTATTGTACTTGACTATCATAACCACGATTATACTGACTTAAGAGCATCACTCAAAATACCATCCATATCTCAGAGATTTTTATATGCTGACTTACTATTTTTGTTTAAAATTATTAACAGTTTTATCAATTGTTCTAGCTTATTGCGATTATTTAATTTTCATATTCCACAAAGACCTATGAGACATCCGCAATTGTTTAGCATTCAGTTTTCTAGAACCAATTATCTTGATAACTCAGTAATTTTGAGGTTGCGTAGGGAGGCAAATGAGTTTAATGGTGTCATTGATTTCTTTGGTGTTTCAATCAATTCATTTATAAAAAATTTGCGAGCGATTATTTATGATAATAATAACAATGATGTAAATGCGGCCAACTAATTTTTGTAATTAATTCTGTCATACTTTTTTTTTATTATACTTAGTACACTGTACGAATGGGCACAGCCCGTATATATATATCTAAATAAATAAATATGATATCACTTGCATTTTACTTAACTTGCAGTTCAATTAACTAAAATTTTTTACTTTGTGATCGAAATGGGCATTTGGTCAGACAAATTCTCAGTTTCCTGGCACGCATTTAAAAAAAAATATTTTATGTTTTTATACTTTTGTTGTCCTAGATATATATATATATATATATACTATATATATATATATATATATATACTATATATATATATATATATATATATAATATATTATATATTATATATTATATATTATATATTATATATAATATATTATATATATATATATATATATATATATATATATATATATATATTGTAACAGGTTTTTACTCATGAAGATTAATTTTTGAATTTATTTTGTTTTTCATTTTTAATTAATTAAGTTGAAACTATTCACTGCAATATTCCAAAAAATAACTAGGTTAAATTTTATTGATAGAAAACCTGTTACTATTTTTCTTATTCATTAGTATGGAATTTCCCATGGCGCCAGGTCATTTTGACGTGGAATGACCAAACCTAAAATTGTACAAAATAAACCGACTACTCTTTAATTAAATTACTCATAACCGCGGAGAGGGGGGAGGTAAGGATGATCACTGAATAAAACTGAACAAGGACAATTGACACTAATGAAATTTATTTATCTTATCTCGAACTTTGAACATTAGTCGGCGGCAAGCCGCCTAAGCAAGACTCGAATTCAATTATTATTATTATAAGAATTATAAACTTGAGACTGGTTGGAGGAACAGCTCAACTCAATAGAAAGGGGACTCACCGTCAAGCCGACGTCTACCACGGATGGACCCACGGCTCATCTCAAGCACAAACAGTTTATTTTATTTTAAATATTTGAATTAGTCACAATCGTGACGCACTATATGTGACAGCCAGAACGAGAATGGATATAAAAAAAATGGCTGACTTCTTCGCAACGAACGCGTCGCTACACCCGCGCCTCGTTTTCTCCTGGTGAGTCCCAGAGAAACTAATAACTTAAAGTTCGTCGATCGATTATCACTCGTCGGTAATGTCACTATGCGGTCGGTAATTAGTTCCACGCGGCGCCACATGAGTGCTGCGCACGAATCGACATAAACGCCACCGATCCAATATGGCCGCACCCAATGTTATGACAGGTGACTCCTCGCAGTTAGCGAATTCGTCTTCCTGGCACTCTTGGATAATCGGGAATCTCTTCCAATTATATATGCCAGGAAGCGCTTCCCACGATGACTTCCAATTCCGTCTTTCCCGTGACGTTGCGTAAGGAGTTGACGAGAGGCGAGAGTCTTTCACTCTCGCGATTACAAAAGAAAATAAGAAAGAGATATCATTAATTACCGAGAGTAATAATTTAGATTTTGAACATCGATGTGACGAGTTGAGGTAATTATTAGTGTTTATACAAAATAAATAATAAACAAACTAAAATTAAAATGGAACCAAACGGTTCGATTCCCGTTCTGGTGTTATTTTTCTTTAATATTTACTAATTAAATCAATATTTTGTGCACGGCAAAAATAGCCGTGTCACAACTCCCCCCTGCTAAGCTTCGGCCAAAGGGGTCAAGAAGGTGAATCCCCCAATTTCAATCAGAGCTGCCCCTCGTCAGATCAATGATCAAGTCAAATTGTCAATTTAATTTATTTGAATAATTGATATTAGTTCTATTTCATAATATTCCGTATGTGAACGTCACTTAGTATGGCTTATTTCGAATCAAAACTATTAGAATATCTTAATTAAGTAAATTGTTGTTTTTATAAAATTATATAAGAACAACACAACAACAACAACACACTGGTCGAATCTTGATTATTGGGTGTGTAAGCTTATAAAAAATTTCAGAACCTAGTTTAATTCCCGATTTCTGGGAATGCTTGAATTCGGCTTTCTTGCCTCTCTTTGGCTTCGATGGAACAGAAGACATTTTTTATTTTGACATATTAAAGGAATTCAAAACAAAACAAAATTATCTGTACAAGGGAAGAAAAAGAAAAAAAATTGGATTTAAATTACAGGAGGAAAAGAGAGCTCTTGACTTAATTCCGAACTAGGAATAAATCCTGCTTCTAATAATCCTTTGAAACCAAAAATTCCTTGGCCTAAACCACTTAAAGTAGCGTCTATCGATTCTACTACCTTAAAACAAATTTCTTCACCGTTTATCGACAAATAGACTACACCCAAAATCTGAATCAGTGTATCATTAACCCTTAAACCGCACCCTGGGTGTGCGACACCCATATTCTAGCTTTTTACTCTAATATTTCGGTTAATTTCTTAAAAATTGAACATGTGTCGTTATTGGACGATACATTTTGTACTTAACTTTATGTTCCGTGAGGGACATAAAGTCTCCCAAGTGTCTTTGTGTATTTGATAACTTTATGAAGTTGTCGGCGAAAAATTTCTGCTTGTTTGACACCCTGTTTTTGGTTTAAGGTAATTTTAGTAGTTTTAAAAAACTCTTTTTTAATTATTAAAATCAAATAAATCATTATGAAACCTATTTTCCTTCAAAATAGATGTACTGAGCTATATAAGATAATTTTTCCAAAAGATAATATCCTATTCCAGCTTGGAGAACACACTTAAAAGTCCCCGGGTGTCGCACACCCAGTGTGCGGTTTAAGG